TTCCTAACGAGCTTAGTACATACCGTGCATGGCAAGGTGCAGCTTACGATAGGGTTGATTTTTGATCGCAAACTAGTTTGTACAAAAAGACCGACACAGAGTGCCCGTATATTTTTCAATAAAAAATCATTTATTCGATTTGTCTATTCGTTACAGGAAAAAGCCCCACCATGGCCATACAATATGACGCCCATCGCACGTTTTTGAAACGCAATTGTGTCGCGTTCACTCTCGCTACCATGATGTGCTATGATCACCTTGTAGGTGATGTACGACTGATGTTTCTCTTGTGCGAAAAGCTAACTCAGCGAGCGCCGCAAGCAAAACAATGACGGGTCTGCGTGTTTGGAGGCCCCAGTCCATACTCTTGGACACTTCATTTGACAGACAAGTTTGTCACTGTTGGTACTTCGTTGTTCAACTAAATACGAGATCTCCCGCTTGGTATCCTTCCATTATACAAGGAAGATGATAGAAAGGAAGTAAAGATGATGAACCATCCGCAGTCAGCACAAATCTGAGTGGTATTTGTGAATACTGAGACATAGCGATGAGCTTGTCACCCATCCAAGAAGCTACATATATCTAACCCACAAATCAGCAATTTAGCCAGGGCTGTATGACAGATGTACTCTCTTCTACCTTGAAGGCTGGTTCACACTGTTGCGACCAACTACGACCAAGTCTGACACAACCGGTTTTCAAGCCTCTTACGACCGCGCCTTGCGGCAGCAATGGTGGTCATAAACTGCCATAGAAACCCGTAAAAATATGTAACGTCGCAGGCCGCTGCAGGCGGACGCGGTCGGACTCACGCAGGTCAGTGAACCAGTCAGCGCAACCGATTTTGCACCGACATTGTGTCACGTGACCTACCGGTTCGGCGACACCTTCGGTTTCTATAGCATAGGCCGAGGTCAATCCTTAGGTGAAACGGAGTATTAGGGGTCTTTACGTGCACAACGCTGTAGAGATTGCACAAACGCACGCCGATGCTCGTTCTCCGTACAGCGTGGTGCGAGTTAGCAGTCATGCTGCACTGGCCTTATACTGCGGAAAGGCATGTTGACCCTCAGGATGACTGTAAAACATTATGCTGTCAAAATCATCCACATAGCCCAAAATTTCCTGCTAGTTCAGCTCATGCTGTGTATACGCGCCTCGTCATTAAGTGACCGACTAACTGTTCGTTGGTTTCTAAATTCAAGAAACAACCTGAATCCCCTCGACCGTGCAGCGCGCACAACTCTCGGGAAATTCCTCCGGTAGTCGAGCGAACCAGAAGAGATGGCGTTGGTCACCAGCCAATAGAAATGGAAAACGCACAACACCGTGACACAGTCAGCCATTCAGGATCCCAAAACCTCTCGTCCCCAAGGCCACTGTATCCTTTTCTCTCATCTCCCTTTTTTTTATTGCTTTGTGATTATTCGCAAGATCGTACCCCGTTGCACTGGAGTGATTGTCACGTCCCTCCTTGCCACGCGAAAGCCGCCATTCATCGCTTTTCCGCTTTTGTCTCTTTTCCTGCTCTTCTTGTTCAAACTTTCTTCCAAGCCCCCCCCCCCCCCCCCCCGCCCCCCTTTTCCGGTGATCGGACAGGGAGTCAAGAGGTCCAACGAGTCAAAAGGTCCGAGTCAGAAGGTCCAATGATGGATCGTTCTTGCCTCGTTAGACCTCTTGACTCGGAATCAGGGGTGGGGGGGCTTTTAAGGTCAAGTTGTTTGCTGATAATCGGAACAAAAAGACAAGCTTTTTCTTTATTTTTATTTAGAAGTAGCACTATATTGCGTAAGCAGATAGGTAGAAAGCTTCCTCCCCAGTGCCATCTGGTTTCTGGAATGCTCTGTTCACGTTCGCGGATTATACAATGGTCCCCGAGAAATGATCCACAAAAATACTCGAATACACTCACAATAAAAAGAGACGCACTCGTGTTTTTTTTTTTTTTTTGCATTCCAGTTTCGTGCCCTTCCTATTTTTCTTGACGGTTAATGTTGGCTCTTTAGCACACTGGTGCTGTATCACGTTGCGCAGGAAGTTGGAAGTTTGCGACACACCTCTTGACAAAACATTCGAATTCTCCAGTTTGAGCCTCAGCCGGTACACGAAAGCAGTCTTCCGGAGCTGGTCGGAGCGCTCGTCACGGTGGCTCCTCTGTGTGTGCCGCCAATAGATTTTCTGTCAGTCGTCCAATTTTTGTGCAGCTTCTGTTCTTGTGAAAATGGGCGTGTGGTGCCAGGTGCTAGTTCCCCAATCCTATCAACACCAGGCATCAGACGGCATACAGCAGGGCCGGCCCATCAAGCGCCCTAGGCGAACTACTGCCGCAACGCCCCCGGCGTCCCATCCCATTCACCTTTTTATACGCCCCTATCTGCGACATCACATAGTAAATATGTGAGTAGTGTTCCAACACAAGCTTTATTTTTTTTTTCTGACGAAAACTGCCGTGTTCAAATAAATTAGTAAGCTAAAAAAAAATTTCAAATGAGGGCGCAGCAGCGCAACCCTTTTAATGGCTCCCTGCAGACCTCCCAGTCGCCTACCCCCAGTCCTGGTATAAAGACCTGGCAGTCTAAAAAATAAGATGTTCTTTTTTTCTTTGGGGCAAATTTGAAGGAATAACTATCTTTTGCAGTTGCGTTCGTGACAAACGTTTGCGATTAGGGTCGATAGGTCATTGTCAGTGTTCCATTTTCTTTCTTTTTTTTTACTGTCGCTAAGCCCGGTTTGCACGCTTAACATTCGGAATGTGTCGTTAGCCTACTGTTGTCATCAGTAATTTATGTTGCCTACAACGCGGCTTCGTCTTATCACGAATAGAATTATCCTTCTTTTCGCCCATAAGAGCGTCGCCTAATTTACTATTCATTACACTAAACTCGGCCCTAACATTTCTCCACCAGATAACCCTAGTTATAATGTCCTTGTCAGTAATTTTTTATCAATTTATTCATGTCCGGATCGCTTTGTGACACACCTTTAATAGCCCTGCTCCAAGTGCGCTTGAAACCGGGTTTTAAGGGCTTTCAAAACAAACTCATGAAAGAATCAGCGAAGCTGTTCGCAACCTCCACTCTGCGCGTGCCCAACAGAGTGCGCTGGTTTGCCGACTTTCTAAAAGAGTGAAATCTGAGAGCCTTTTCAACATTCCCAAGAAAAAGGGGTATACTGTAATATAATGCATTATACCCCATCTTCATGGGAATACCTATAAATACTCCCAAGAGTGTATCCCTTCAAATGGGGAAAAAATTTGGCGACACGTGGTTACCTCTTTGTTCAAACCAGCGTTTTATTCAACCAAAGCTTATTGCTGAGCCCTCATGGTGGTGCAAAAAATTACAAAATTATTTGCGAAAAAAAGAGAAAATAAAAAAGAGCACAGTCGATAAAACCAGTTTTCAAAATAATAAACATAAGCAACAAATCTTACAAACTAATAACACACAAAGAAATGACTCCGTAGAAGTTGAACTGTTGTCTAAGTTCTTTCGCTGTCGAATAAGAGTGATATTCAAATTGGCGCAAAAGTAACGATCATTCTCTTTTGAAAGTAACCGTAACTGTATATTGTTACGTTCTTAGGACGGTAACGAATCTAAGAACTCGTTAAGTTTTGACGATCTAGCGAGTGACGCTAGTTTGTTACGTGTTTCTTGTAATGGGCACAACAGTGCTTGGGTCCCACTGATGCCAAAGGCCCAATACCCAATATCTTTGCACGGCCCCTTGAAGCTGACAGTGCGGCGGGAGCTACATATTTGCCGGACCAGACAACTGCCTCCCTTTCATTGCTGATTATGCCTTCTGCGTGGATATAGCTGGGAGCGCGGGCATGCTTCAAAACATCGACGTATGACTGGTCCAACGGGCTTGTAGCTTCCACCACCCTGCCGGCTTTGGCCCTTTGCACCTGCTATCAAGAAAAACTTTTAGCGTTCAATAAAATTGGGTGAGTATTTTATTTAATAAATAAATTGGTAATTATTGATTTTAAAGGCATGGTTTCAAATAGAATCTTGCTGAGAATTATCAAAAACTATGAAAAACACCCACTCTACAATGGTATTCTGAAGAAATACTCAATTTGGACGCCTGTCTTGTTTTCGGCTTCCTATCGCGTGCATCTCCCCGCGGGCAATCGGGAGGCGAGATTGACCACGAGGAGATTCTCTCCGATAAGAAACGGAAAGCCAGATTTGTATCCAAATTAAGCATTTTTTCAGAACGCCGTAAAATGCTGCGCGTGCCTCATGCCATTATAACATGGGTGCATTTAGTCTTCTCGATGATACCGAGCAATATTATCTTTGAAACCATCCGTTTAAGACTAATATTTTAATATCTAGGTATTCAGAATTTATTAAATAACCCATTATATCGAGCTCTAGCAATTTTCCTTGGACACACACCACTATGGCATCAGGCTTCTTTTTTGTGCGATGCGTCGTTTTTGCAGTAGCGATTTTGCCCGTTTTTCTGGAAACACCCTGTATATATGTCAAAACAAATGTTTTATATGTTTGGGAAGAAGACTCCACTTCCACCAATTCTCGCGCATCAGACAATAGTGTCAACCACTGTACACTCAGTGCAGATTAAGACATATTTAGATGGATTATGCATATACAGTATTTAGATACAGGAATACACAATGGAGTCAATTATGCCTTTAGTACAACACATGTATATGATCAGTCTACTACAAGAAGAATTTAGAATATTTAAAGGCCTGACGAATTCAAGTGAAACTATACTTCGTTTCAGCGCAGGTCTGAGCGCTGCCGAGGTCAGGAACCGAAGGGCCAATCAAACAGCGAAAGAGGCACAAAGCCATGACGAGTTCTCTGCAGTTTATAGGACCATAGGACTAGCCGGTATTCGCCATCTCTCTGTGCGTGGTCCTCCACCGGCTAGTCCTATCAAGCGCAGAGAGCACGCCATCACGTTGCGCTTTCTGCACTGTTTTATTGGCCCTCTGGCTCATAACATCGTCTGCGCTCGTGCCTAAAGTGAAACAAAGTGAATAGCACTAAAAGTATGAATATCCTAAATGATCAGGACCGTCTTTGTGAATGTGCAAAAAAATAATAAAATCATGCAAAAGGAAAACTTACATACAAGTAATTCATGCAGCAAGTAGTACATTGAATGATGTCATCAAGATTCAGATACTCAAACCGGTCAAAAAGAAAAAGGACCAAGAATATTACGAAATGAGATATAAAATTACGCTGCATTTCTAAATCTTCGAGTCATGTATATACTCTTGCAGCCCAATGAGTAAAGCATTAGTTCCCAGCTTGGTGTGTTAAAAAGTTTCTTATAGCTTTATTTTTACATCCTAAAATTATGTTGACCCCTCCGCATTAGTACTCGGTTTTTCTTGTACTTTCTTAACATTTGCAATATTCAAGATTGCTGCTATTGAAAGACCTTAGTTATTTTATAAGTTTGTATATTTATGGTTATGAGTAGGCCGACCTCTAAGGAACGTAAGTGACCCCAGAGACAACCTAGAGGTCCAGGTGCATCACGTGATTAATGACTCTAAATGAATAAAAAAAAGATTAGGCTTCGAGTATTTTCTTTTTTTCGTGTACAAAAAAGAACTCTGGTCGCTTTGTCTAAGGTAAATTCACATTTTTTTTATCTGTGTTTACGCGATAAATAACAGGCTGAAACATTTTGAACCATGCAAAACACACTTTGCTCGCAAGTAGAACCCCTGCCAAATGAACACACGTCGGTGCTCGAGTATTTCGTTTAAACCCCTTTCACAACTATGATGCATGTGAGGGTTTTGATCACTTGCGATGTATCTTCCGATGACTTTGTAAATAGGTATCAGCCGCAAAAGCTCTACCACAGGTCTCGCACTTGAACGGCTTCTCTCCGGTGTGAGTCCTCTCATGATTCGCCAATTTGTACTTCCGAGTAAACGCCCTGCTGCACGTATTGCACCTGAACGGCTTCTCTCCTGTATGAATTCTTTCGTGATTTGCCAAGATGCATTTACGACTAAACGCCCTGCTGCACGTGTTGCACCTGAACGGCTTCTCTCCGGTATGAATTTTAACGTGAGATATCAAGTGAGGCTTCTGCGTGAATGTTTTCTCGCAGGCATCGCAACTGAAGGGCCTCTCGCCAGTGTGAGTCCTCTCGTGGATGGCGACAGCCGCTGCGGAAAGGCATGAGTAAGGACAGAAGCGGCACGGGTGCTTCTTCGGTCGTCGGTGCGTCTGCTGCTTGTGTGGGCCAGAATTGTTGGTCTGGGGAGAGGTGTCACCTCTGCGGCAGTTACGGTCAAAGGTATCCACTTTGTCGCCATAGCATGCTCCGATGCAGTCTGTTGGGATGACACAACAAAGCAAGAAAGGTTGGCGCATTTTTAATTGTTCTGAACATGGTCCAAAATACCTACATTATGCCAGTGCGGCCTATAGTAGGCATTCGTTCATTTGAGATGTTAAAAAGGTTCATTCGCAAAGCTTGTAAATGTCTACAGGCGGTCGTTTAAGACTCGACTCTGGCAGCCCTATGGTGCTGCAGCTGTGGTGGCTTGCACGTTCTGCTAACCAAGTGCGGAAGGGAAGTCAAGCCGCCGCGGTCGCCGCCGCACAGTGTTGGCGGTAACGTGTTACAAGTAACGTCGTTACCGGTAACGCCTTACTTTTGTTAGTAACACGGTAACGTAATCGTTACTTTTCCAAGACAGTTACGGGCAATGTACTCACGATAACGGGTAACATAATTACATCACTCGTTACATCTTCCGAAAACTTGAAAAATGATGTTAGGACAGAACGAGCGGGTTGGTGGGAAAATTAAACTTGAGAAAGAAAACGTTCGTCATCCCCTTCTTTTCTTCCTCAATTTTAATTGAAAAACGAACACCTGTAATTTTTGCCAGTTTGTATACTTCGTTTCACCTGAAGTAAAGACGCAGCTGACGCTACAGGCTGATGGAAATTATCAGAGAGGAAAAAGGGAACCATCATGGTGTTCTCTGTGTTTCTGTGCGTGTTCTCTCATCGCTGAAATAAACACACAAGGCCAAGGGACTCGTGATTTTGACGCTGATTGATTTGTCTGATTAGCTCGTAGCGTAGGCTGCGTCTAGAGTTAAGCTGAAACGTAGTACATGATTCAAGTAATTAATTATTGCACTCATTCTACATATTTTCTAAATTTTGCCTGTCTTTTCCCGACGCAAAAATTTCCGCTTTAGAAAAATACCAACGCCCGCGCCTGTCGTCCCAGTGTCGAAACATGCTGTCATCAAAATAAAACAAAAGCGCTGTTACTGCCTATTTATAAAAAAACATGTAACGCAAAAGTAACGTGCGTTACTTTCTGTCGATAACAATATTGCGTTCCTTTATTTTGCAAGTAACGAGTAACATATTTCTTTACTTTTTTTTAGATAACGCCTACAACACTGCGGCTGCATACTGCTGCCAGTACGGAGCGCTGGGTGATAACGTGTTGACATTCATAATGATTGTGACTGTGTATTAAGTAACGCTGAAAGGGTCGTTCACACACCCACAGATTATTAGGTTACACAAAATAGCATTCAATAGGCTCGTAGAATAATCGTTATGTACCTTAGAAACTTGAAAAATCGCTGAGGTACACAGTGAATATTTTAGGAGCGATTTTAAAGAGGGAAAAACGCGGTTCTATATTGACATTGATATGAACATTTGCCAGTTTAAGCAACTTCGGCGACACAAATTAATGTTGTGAAAAAAGCTTCAATCATTTGAAGCAGCGAAGCCTTTTCGAGCTATTTTATGCGTCGAAAATAATCTATAGCGTTTGTGAGAGCTACTCAATCAACCGGAACTAAAGGAAAAAAGACAATTCTGTAATAAATAACCAACTCAGCATAATACATTTCTCCGATATTAAATAATATGTATCAATTGCAACTTCGAGTGCTCGGACTGAATGTTCCTTCAGTTGAGCCCAGCTTGTTTGTTTACTTTCACTTGAGTTGTAGTTTTTGGACTTTGGAATATAACCCCCCCTCACATAAAAAAAAAACAAAAACAAAAAGAAAGCATTAAATTTTGTTGCGATATTTTTTTTTCGGTTTGGTGCAGGCCGATAATTAAAACTTAATGAAGTTTCCACGTGGGGAAAGCTGTGTACCACATCAGACTCCACACGTTTTCCATTTTCTGGAAAACCGAGCCTACAAAAAGGTGCTAAGGAGATGCGAGGCTGGATGAGTATTGTCCCATGTGCGTCTTCTCATACCTGGTGTTGTTAGTTCTGTGGACACCACAAGATTGGCTGCAGAAGTCGCACCGCCGTCTGTCCTCCCCTCCTGGTCCATCTTCAATGGTGGCCTCTGCAAGTCGGCTCCTTGGAAGGAGAGCTCCGCCCCCTTGTCCTCGCAGTCCGTTCTCTGCCATTCGGAGTCGAATGCTGTGTGGGCAAGTTCTGTTAGGAGTGAAGATCAAATTTTTATACTACACCAATACAGAAGCCCAATCAGAACGAACTAAAAGAACAAGCAAACATAGACACATCATGCTGATGAAGTAGAGAAATTCAGGGGTTTACATTCGTATTGCAGTGTAATTCAAAGGGTAATATAATCATATCACGAAAAAACACAGGCATCAAACTGAATACTGAAAATCCCGAAAAAATTGATTGTAAAAATTGCACGTTAATCATACATAAAAGCGATCCTTCTCTATTAAATACATACTTCAAAGGTTTCATTTCACTTTAAACATGCGGTAAAGGATTCCGTCGATACAATCCCACACAAATTGACAAAGACACAACTAAATACGATCAAGAAGCGTGGTTTAGTAACGTCACTCCTGCTCTGTAGTGCTGAAAAAAAGGCAGGCATGCCACAGAACCAACAACTGTACGGTATATCACCGCCATAAGTTTTGGAAATTACACGTCAACAAAACGGGCACGGTGTGTCGGCAAACGAAGGTAGGGAAGGGAATAGAAATGTCGCATGTAGTTGGCTGAGCTGTGGCCATTCCCTATTTGATCCGACTAGTTGGTTCCCTTCATCTGGGGTAAAATGTAGCCCACAGGTCTGGCACTGCCAAAGATGAGCTGGCTGGCCTTCCTTCTTAGGCAGTGAAGGGTCGCTCACATTTGCATTCAAAGCATTTCCGGTCAGCTCGGCCTGCAAAGTTTAGAATAATGAGTATTAAAAAACAACCGCCAGCACGTTACTTTACCTGCCCTTAAATATCGTCACATTCTCTGAGCAAATCTAAAACTGAAGGGCACCAGATGCTTGGAATCGGTCTAGTTGGCTATTCATTACTTGATTACACTGCGGAGTAAACGATTACGAATTACGACGCAGAAACGAGAAGAAAAGAAAGGAAACAAAAGGGAAAACGTGCATTTGCAGTTCAATTTAATCAAGTCAAGAACTGAAGGCCACTTTTGAGATTAAACAGGGCGTGGATAACAGCACCCTTTCTCAGTACGAGAGTACCTGCGTGAAATTTCAATCTGAAGGACACTAAGAAATTAAGTCCTGTAAGACTATACCATTTCCAAGTGCGTATGTTTTAGCCAAATACCAGTGACACATTTTGATTTTCACGAGAAATGTTTAATTACATATGCAAAGTTTAACCGTGCAGCAGTTTTGCCTGGCTGCTGCCCATAGGGAGGTATGACACACGCATCCAGTTCAACAAGTGTTTATAACATGTCGGCTCCCCAGCGGCGCCGCTGGGCAGAGTTGGCCTCACCCATAGAGGGGAGGGGCGCGTTGAGTAACTGTATATGCTCCGCTTGCGGAGCAGAGTACCGCAATGGTGCCTGGAGCCAAGGGCTTGGGGAAGCCACGGTCGGTTTTTGCAGGGGACACTAAGCACAAGACGCAAGCCGGCGTGCTGTGGCGTGCTGCGGCACGCTGCATAAAAAAAATAGCGCAGCGACGAGCCGCGCATGCGCCGTCATCGTTCCCCATCATTTCCTACTTCCCTCTCGATTGCAAAAATCGCTCCCACAAGTCGCGCGTAAAGTCGTCAAGTCGCCGTTACCGGGACGCATATAGCATCGTGAGCCCGCTTTCTGCCCAACTTTTGGAGGACCTTTCTCCTCGAGCGATCGCAAGACGCAAAATAATGCAGGCCTGCTTATTTTCCCCTTGTGTTTAATCGAAGAGCAAGTGTCGCTGCTCAACCTTTAACTTTTTTTTTTTGCAGGCAGTTTATTTGGTTTTATGTAGATTGAGCAGTGTTTTACCTTCGTGCGTCCCAATTTACGCGAATCTGGAGAGTCGAGCATCCGCACTTTCATGCTAAAATAGTGTACAACTTTTTTTTTTCTTTTTATACAAAGTTTTTGCCATTTCGCAAATTCGAGACGCCCCAATAGAGCTCTTCTGTGTGTCTGGAGGCCCCAGTCCACACTCTCGGACACTTCATTCGGGAGACAAGTTTGTCGCTGTTGGTTGCTTGATTTGGTGTTTATGGCGCAAAAACTACTAAGGCCATAAAGCACCAAAAACGAGACTATTGCTGGAAAAGGTTTGGAGAGAAAAAGAGGCTTTAGTAACCAGTGATTAGATAAAAGATGGTAATGGGGTACCAACAGGTAAAAGGGTGATGGGCATGATCTGTAGGTTAAGAAAGCTAAAATCGGTGTAGAAGGCCGATACTATCTAAAAATTTGAAAACAATGTCACAAGAGAATCATCACTTAACAGCAGAGCTGGGCGTAGTGGGACTTGTTCTTGATACAGTTACGAAAAATGCAAAAGCCATTCTTCATAAGCAGGACATTCAACTAGAATATGAAGAATGCTTAAGGCATTGTCACACAGCTCACAAGTGGGGGCATCTTCCCCACAAAAGAGGTAGCCATGAGTCAGACGAGTGTGACCAATTCAGAGCCGGCAAAGAACAACCTCAAAAAAGCGTTCCTGGTGGCGTGCACTCTGCCATTCGCTCAAAAGAGGTTTGATCATGTGCAACTAGTTGCCGATTTCTTGGTCCCATTCAGCCTGCCATTTGCACTTAACATGACGCCTGAGAAGGCCTCTGTAGTCTGCATAAGGAAAGCTGTGGAGGTTAACTGTTCGCTTTACACAAGTACTTGCTGCACGATCTGCTGCCTAATTGCCCGGAATGACCACATGGCTGGGAAACCAGCAAAATACAATTTCGTATCCCTGTCTTGAGGCAGCAACAACCTTATTTCGCAGTTCAAGAAGCAGGAAGTGCTTGACGGGTGTTAGTGAAGACAGTGCATGTAATGCACTGAGGGAGTCGGTGTATACGATGGAGTGAGAGAGCTTTTTATCAAGTATGAAGCCTATTAGCCCCGAGAGCGAGCACA